CTGTCCGATGACTGGGAGGTCTCTTTGACTTCCACCTTATAGTCCCCAGGCCAAAACACCAGTTCCCTTTTTCAGAAATCATCCCCCAATTTGGACTACCCCAGCACCTCCAAGAGTGGCAATGGGCCTTCTTTTACCTCTCAAATACCTCAGCGAGTGGCAAAGGCTTTAAGAATTAAGTACCAGTACCGCCTCCATTCTGCTTGGTGGTCTCAATCTTCTGGAAAGGTAGAGATAAGCAACTAGACCCTAAAACAAGCTCTGGCAAAACTTTACCCACAGATATCTGAGTCCTGACTCTAAATGCTGCTAGTAGCACTCATGCGTTGGGGACCCAGCTGTGTAAGCATTAAGCTGTTGACCACAGTGCTCTCTCACTGTGTTAGGGAAAGTTGATATTGACAGTCTCTGAAAACAAGATAATGCTGCAGCTGTGGGCTGCTAACTCTCCCTCAAAGGATTCAAGGACAATAAGCTGCCAACCTTAGAGATCAAATAGTTCTCCTAATTAGCGAGATTTACTGCTTTGAATGTCTTTGTTCTAACTTCTCAAGGCCCTCCTTATTTTCATGGGTTTTGCCTCAGATGTGCCCTCCACCTCCCTGAATTGTTAGGGATATAATAAATATGGACAGTCCAGACAGGTCTTTGTCTTAACTCCAAGAGAGTTCTGACCTTCTTGGATCCCACAATCATATCACATTGTCTCTTTTATTTAAGCCTTTGCTGACACACTCGTCATAGATCAGGAGCCTGGCCAAGACCCCAATACTCACGGAGGTTTGTAATTTGCCCAAAACTGGGCTAAATATTGCCCATTTGAGATGGTATATATAGGGGGCATTTCTATAATTTATTTGACATACCTCTCTGACATACATTCTCCTCTACAGGAAGCATTGAAATCTGACCTGTCCCTCATATTTAGGCTAATAGTAAAGTTTCTTTCTCAAACAGGCAGCTCAGTGGTCACTAACTCTTTCTCATCGTCTTCTACCAGGTTTTATTTTTCTTCAACCCAGCTGGTGAGCCACAGCACTCCAAGGTAGCTGGACAGCACACGACTCTCAGCAATAGGGTCTATAGCCCCTTTCAGGCAGAGGAAGCTATAGAACACAGAGACCTTCACTCCTTCAACAACCCAAAAATAATTATGGGGATTTGTGTCTCAGAGGAAAAGGAGGCAGGAAGGCTGGCTGGGGGAGTAAACATGGCCAGATCCCGGGACACATGCACCAAATAATTCTCAGGACCCTGTATGTGGACGTCTTGTGAGAACTGTGATGTGTGGGATAACTAAAAGGACACAGATGCCATGAAGAGCTCTCTATTGTGTCTCTCCATGAAAGCCCACCCTGTCCAGGGTGTACTCTTGATTATATTTACATTTTTTAGTTTTTATTTTTCCTGTTTTACTCAGTCTAAGTTTGCTTTGCAGAACCAGTTCTTTCTTGCCCTTCACTTTTAATTTTTTCTACCTCAAATAAATGTGAAACTGTGCTACCATTTTTGTTTGTTTCATTAAATTCTTTGTTTGAGATGGAAATAACCTGGAAACCACCACCAGAAGAGGCCCTAGTACTCCAAAACCCAATGTCTCAGTCACTTTTCACATTGCTGAGACAAAATACCTGACACCCAAAGTTAAAGGAGGAAAGGTTTATTTCAGCTCCCAGTTTATAGGGGTTTCACCCATAGTCAGGGGAGCATGGCAGAGGGGGATCACAGGGGACACACAGCTCATGGTAGGCAGAAGGCATCAAGCAGGAAGTGGAGCAGCAGCCCTCTTTCTGTCCCTTATATTCTATCCAGGCTCCTCATCTTTTGGATGGGTGGGTAGCACTCACACTCATGGTGAGGCACCCTTAATCCCAGCTTTGCACCATGAATTCATCCCAGAATCACATCCTTCATCCTAGCATCACACATCTAGATCCAGCCACCTATGAAAAGTCCCACACATGAGGCTTTCAGGGGACATCTAGATACAAGCCATAACACCTTGTGACAGGCAGACAGGCAATTTCTCTTCTAAGAAAATCACATCCTATTTTCAACATGATCACAACTAACTGCAAGGTGGGCTGAGAAATGGAATGTCTATTTCCAGGGCCAAGCTTAGGTTAGTGTTGGATAAGTGTGGTGTGATTACTACTAAAAGAAGACAATCGTGGGTATGTAGGGTCACTTTTGCATCTCTGCCACAGAATCCAATGTGATGCTATCTTTTCTCATTCTGAGCAATGTGCCAGATGTATTTCTCTTGTAGACAGACGTGGTCAGTTAGATATATGTAGAAGTCACTGGATAGGGCTTCCTAGAAAGGTTTAATTGCCCTTTACCCATTCATTCCTTTTGTCTCTTGGTAGACAGGTGAGGCAGCTAGAACTTCAAAAGCCATATCAGATCATGAGTAACAGAGAACATGGGGGCCACATGCTAAAGACAGTGGAGCACACCGGAAGGGGAAACCTGGAAGCATTAGGATCACAGAGCCATCACAGAATCCTGAACTGTCTATCACTGCACTTCTTTACTTTGAAGGCGAAATAAGCCTCTTTTCACATTTAAGTTGCTTTAATTCTGATCTTCCACAAATGACCAAATGTAATTTCTAACTAATTCAAATTATTCAGTTAAGTGATATATCCAAAGCAATACAACTGCTGAGATGTTTATATTCAGATTTACCTAGCTTCAAACCCATAGCCTTCTCTTTCCAGGAGTAAAATTGTCTTTTGCAAGATGGAAATAGTACCCGTTACTAAAGTATCTGCAGTTTGATGAAGAAATAGTACATAACTGAGTCTGAGACAGGGTTGGGGAGAGTGACAGGACTTTGACATAGCAGCCTAAGAAAAACAAGCAGGTAGTGGCAACTATGGGCAGTAAGGGGGGGAAATAAATCCAGCTGTCAATGAAAGGTGTAGGCCTCTGTAACACTTGAGGTAAGAGGGTGGGATATATAAGAAACTTCAAAGATGCTGACAGATCTGACCAGAACTGACTGTAAGCTTCATTAAACTTTCATTATAATTCATTTCCCTAATAAAGTCTCCACCCAGGGGGAGATAATACATTTTAAAGCACATTTTGGGTCATGTGCAAACCCACACATGTGCAGTAACTAAACTCCATGCCATCTGGAGACCCCTGCCCCTTTTGGACAAAACTATGAATAATGAAAGAAATATCTCTGGGATGCCATAAAAGTGGAATGTATCCTTTTATTAAGTCCTTCTTTATCTATGGAGAAGCCAGCTCTCTGTGGAAGAGCTCACATTTTTGTCTCTTTCCTAGGGCTTCTCTTCTATAGTAAATCTTCCAGTTAAAACTTTTGCCTGTAGGGAATGGGGATTTAGCTCAGTGGCACAGCACCCACCTGGCAAGCACAAGGTTGTGAGTTCAATTCCTGGTACCAGAAAAAAAAAAAAAAATTAAAAAAAAAAACCGAAAACTTTTGCTTGTAGATTTGTGCTGTTGTCTCAGTTTTAATATCCAGTATAACTCAGTGAGAAGTCACTCTCACCAGTGCAGCTCCATCATGTTTAGGTGAAAAAATCTTTGATGGAGAGATTTCTGGAGTGGTAATAGCTTTTCAGCCAGTAATATTTTTCTACCAGCTACATAAAACAGAAAATTACAGAGAAACATCATGAGCTACTGAACTCACCATGATTTATCATCACCCCCTCTCTGACCTTTTCTGTTAATATTAATTGGCTTCTTTATTTCCTTTGTTGTCACCTAGCATGTGCAGACAAGCAGTACGAGGTACCACTCTTAAGGACAATTAATGGGGAACATTTTTAAAATTTATAAAATTCCATTCATCAATGTAACTTTTTTCCACTTTGAAAACATCCACAATTACTTAACTTTAGGTCTAATACACTGGCTCCACCTTATGGCACAAATAGCTTGAGTTTCTCTGACCTGTCTATGTCACTATTTGATGAGATCTTATGTGATCTGAATGATAAACAGAAGACAGAATAGGCTTTGAGAGGATCACAAAACTATGAACCTGGGTAAAGGCTTTGGCCTTCCAAGTTTAGAGGTCATTTGGGCAGAGTAGGAAAGTAACCGCATGAACTGTGTAACCTATATATCCTGTATTGCTACTGGAGGAACCCAAGAATAAGTGAGGAAAACTGTGATACATTTTTTTTGGCAAAATATCGAAAACAACAGAAGTTTTTAAGAAGGGTTTATTAAATAATGCTCTTACTATTATCTCCCTTTGGGAAAAGGAGAAGTGATTGGCTGAGACTACTGAAAATGTTTAGAGTTGTAATGTCTTGTGTGGAATAAAAAGAGTATTTTAGGCTGTGATTTATCATTAGATGACAATTATTGGTTTTAGGATTTTATGGTAGATAGAATGATGACCCTTATTCCTCAAAAAAGTCCACATCCTAATCTTGAGAACCTGTAAATATGTTGTTACTCGCAAAAGGGACTTGGCAAGAGTGATTAAGTCAAAGATATTACAGCAAGAGTTATTCTGGTTGGTCCATGTGACCCCAATGTAAAAACAAACGTCCTTAAAAGATAGAAAAAGGGGGCTGGGGATTTAGCTCAGTGGCACAGCGCTTGCCTAGCAAGTGCGATGTCATGAGTTTGATTCCTGGTACCAGAAAAAAAAAAAAAAAGATAGAAAGCAGAAGAGAAAGAGGATCTATGACTATAAATCTGACGATAAAAGCAGAGACCAGAGGGATGCCATTACTGGAAGGGGCCACAAACCAAGGAATGCAGAGTCTTTATAAGATGAAAAAGACAAAAATTGGATTCTCCAACCCTGCCAGCCCTTCATTTTAGCACCAGAAAAACCATTTCTAGACTTCTGACCTCCAGAGCTATTATTTCATTTTAAGTTGCAATGAGGTAATTTGTTATAGGAGCAATTGCAAGCTAGTACATATTACAACAACAAGAGGAAACTAATATAAGTTTTAAAATTTATTTGTTTAATCAAGGTAAAACAGTTGATTGATACCTAGCAGAGCTGGACATGGTGATACCTGCCTATAATCCCAGCTACTAGGAAGGCTGAGAGGCAAAAGGATTGTTAGTTTGATGCCAGACTGTGTAATGTAGTGAGACCCTATCACAAAATAACAACAACAAAACTATCAAGGTCACCAAAGCAAGGTAAGTGTGAGAAAATGTCATGGCCAAGTGGATCACAAGGAAATCGGAGGAGTACATGTAGTGTGATATCATGGATAACATCCTGGAACAAGAACATCTAGTAAAAACTAAAAAATCTGAATAAGGTAGAGACTTTGGCTAATAATAATGTATAACAGTGATAATAGTGAACTAATATTAATGTTAGTTCATTAGTTATAACAGATAAACTCTACCCAAATAAAGTGTTAATGAGGGAAACAGGATATGAGGTTTTTATGAAAGCTTTCTTCACTGTCTGAAAAACATAATTTTTATTTTTTTTGCAAATCTAAAATCTATACAGCTAATTTTAAAAACGAGTCTTACTTTCTGCTGTAGCATCCAAAAGAAGACTGGACCAAAAATAAGCAAGTCCCTTCATTTTCTCAGTTGGCATGTTGGATTCCATATTCTTGGATAGTGTCCTAAGATCTTACCCTACTCTTTGGTTTTCCTTAGCACAAAATTCCTAGGATATGAATCCAGTAGCAATCAACTAATTATTAAGTAAGAGTTACCATCACCACACTGTTCACCAGCCATGTTCCTCCTAAAGGAAGAAGGGGACAGAGTCAGAAGGCAGCAAGACAAAGATTTCCTGTCTACTGGACCTCCAACAGGCAGCTTTTTGCCTGGTAGTAGAAGTGCTCCATTTGTTTTGTCCTAGAGGTGGTTTAAAAAGGGGCAAAATGTACTGTTTCACTGCTAAAACTGCAGGCCTCCCTGAAAGCCTAGAAAAAGATGGAAGACAATGTTCATGAGAAGGACTGGTTGTAGAGGGCAGCGCTTCCTCTCCTGTATAAACGCTCTTCTGTGTTTTAAAACCATACTATTAGCATGATAGTGGGAAGCAAAATAACTTACCTGATTGGTGTATTTGGAGAGAGGCACTGGTCATAGGCGCAGCAGGATCCCTTCTCTCTCCTCTGTTGGGAGTGGGTCTATTACAGTCAACAGGCTGTCTGATCTTGTGTGTTTTGTGAAGGTCCTTCTTGCATGGAAGAGCCACACAGAAATTCAGTACTTTCCCTGAGCAGATGGTAAGTCCATCTAACTTTGAGATTCAGCGCTAATAATTGGACCCTCACATCTAAGCCACATTCTCTAATATAATGGAAATCAATGTTATTGCAGTTTCCCTTTGACAGATCTGGTCTTGCTTATCAAGTTGACTATATACCTAGGAAAAATAATATTGTCAGTCACCCCCAGAAGGCTTAAGATATGAGGTACTTGTTCCCCAGGAAGTTGAAGTCATGATATATTGAGCTCAACTGAGAGTAAGAGATTGTTGTAGGGTACTTTAGCTCTCAGGCTCTTGCAATGGGACATAGTCTTGGTACGCACACAGGAACTGTCCCCGGAAGACAACGGCTTCTAGAAAGACTTCTTAGATGTCTGATAGTTTCTCTGTAATTTCTGGAAATATGACACATATTGCTCAGTCCTAGACCAAGCCTTATCTCCTACAAGCCAGGGCCTCTCTCCTGTGCTTACAGACAGCTAAGACAGCATCAGGAATCTAAGCTGTGTGCCATCAACAGAGCGTACAGATCATATCTTACGAGCAGGAGGAATACCATAATAGATCGAGCAAGGCCAAGAGGTAGCCAGCAACTTTTAGGCTATATTTTGATACTACCCAGAATAGCTACAACAACATAATATTGAACTAAGAGTATAGCTCAGTGGTAGAGTGCTTGATTAGCATGTGTGAGGCCTGGTTTGATCCTCAGTACCACAAAAAAACAAAACCTATAATCCTTTCTGCTAGTGATATACTGTTTGGTTATGGTGTTCACAGCCTCTGTCTACAACTTTACTGCTTAAGTAGAATATATATTCCCTGTGGATATAACAGGCCACTCTTTCCCCCAAGAAAAGCAAGTCATAGGGAACATTTAGATGTACCCCAAAACTAAACTGAAAGGCACATTTAGTGAACCCATGACTAACTTGTTTTCCCAGCTATATCTGTCAGTGTCTCTGTGCTTAGTCACCGTGCACTCTCCCGGAAAACAGCTGTACCTCTGGCTTTCACCGTCTTGGGCTTGTTCCCTTTTGGTATTTGGCTCGGTTCAGCTATTTTGCTCTTGGCCCCAGGTGTGTGTATGAGTTTCCCATAAGACTATAGAATTATAGCATTTTAGAGCTCCCCTAGAGGATATCTAGTTTAAAATCCTTAATTTTGCAGATGAGGCTAGTGAAGTTAAGTGATTTTCCTAATGTCATACGCTAGCTGGCTAGCAATGCTAGATGGCAAAAACTTGAATATTGTAGTTCAGTGTTCTTTTTCCCACTGAATGAACATAGATAGGTAGGTAGGTAGATAGATAGATAGATAGATAGATAGATAGATAGGAATTAATTCAATATATAGTACAAATTGTATATATTATATACATATAGTCTGCCTAATCTATGCTATATATAGTAAAATCTCTTCTGCTAAACATAACTAAACTGTCTGACAACTATTCCAAGGAGCTCTCAGCTGGCTTTAGGATTAAAAACAAACAAAATGAAGACTTCAGCAAGACAGGACAAAATCAATATCAGTCACCAATGCTATGCTGTCCACTTCCCAGGCAAAGGGGAGAAGAGCCAGTTTCCTAGTAGTTTTTCCAAGTGATGAGTATGACACAGCCAACTTGCTTCTCATCAGGGATGTAGTTCAGTAGGTTCAGGACTGATTCTTTGTTGGCAGGTCACTTTAAAATCAAGTTATTGAAAGTGATTTACTCCCTCACACACACCTTTTTTTTTTTTTTTTTTTGTCTTTGAGACAGGGTTTCACTATGCAGTTCAGGCTAGCCTTGAACTCATTTTGTAGTCCAGGCTTGCCTCAAACTCACAGTGATCCTCCTACCTCAGCCTATTGAGTACTGGCATTATAGGCATGTGCCACCATGCCTGGCTCCCACTGTTGAAATTACCATCTTAAAAAAATTCCTTGAACACCTATGTTTACAGTGGCACAGTTTGTAATAGCCAAATCTTGGAAACAACCTAAGTGCCCATCAGCTGGTGAATGGATAAAGAAGACGTGGGGTTTTTTTAAAAAATGGAGTCCTGCTCTGCCAGAAAGAAGGGTACACCTGAGACATTTCTAGGAAAATGGATGTACCTTGGGTCCATACTCTTGAGTGAAGTAAATTGGATACACATGTGTAAATACCACATTGTTTCTCTGGTGTAAGAAACCAAAGGTGTAAACAAGGACCAAAATGTATAATAGGTATTGTGAAATAGGAAGAAAATGTTCAACTGGAGAGAGGAACAAGGGAGAGAGGAGGGGGAAGGGAAGAAGGGAAAAGTAACAAAAAGGAGAAAAGAAGGAAAACATGGAAACAAAGCTTTTGTAAATGGGGAAGGGAGGAGGGATTGAAGGGAGGGTAAGAGAATGGGGAAAAAATAAGTCATTTGCCTCAAACTCACAGTTATATAAATTCTCTGTGATGAATATGATCATTGTGTTTATCTAAAATGTACCAATAAAATCTGATTAAAAAAAATATTGACCTTACACTTTTTAAATTAATGTAAGATTACATGCAAATAATGTAATACTGCTTCTCATGTAGTATTAAGGACTTTTCAACAGTGCATTGAAAATTACTTTTACATCTGTGTTCTTTTGTCAAGTATTTTGCTTTTACATATGCTATAAATGCTAACAGTTAAAAAGATTCCTGTTCCCTTTCACTTGCGGAGTCAGATCCATGCTCCTGAGTTGAAGCGGTACGGCACCATCCTCACACTGTCTCCAGATTAGGTTCTTCTAATCCTCTTTGGTGTATTCAGTTCCTACCTCAGGACTCATTCCTTCCACACCTTTCTCTTACTCTGTTCAAATCCTTGGTGAGACCCTATCTGCTCCAATTTTATTGAGGATAATACAAGAGGAAAATAAAAGAGTGGCTGTGGCTGTCAACCTATGAAACAGTCCTACTTCTTTAATTATGTGACCCTCTGAAGAAAACAAAGCCATAGGGCTGCAGAATGGGAGACATCAATGAGAAAAGCGCACATATGTTTGACCACCATTGACCTCACTGAACAACCATTCCAGAAGATGGATTAGGGGATCAGTGGCTACATTCTCACCTATTCCAGGGGATGACAGTGGCTACATTCTCACCCAGTGGAATTCCCACTGGGATGACCCTGGGACTTAGAATTTGCAGGAGGATAGTGAGATGGCACCCTTCTCATCTTTCTTTTGCATTCTCTGTTTTAACTTGACTGTTAAGAAACTCCTAAGAAAAGAACTCAAGCCATATCCACAATTTGTGTATAAGCATGTCTAAGATGGACATGAGCTGTGTATGAGCTGCAGTAAGTACGGAGCTGGAGCGTTAAGAAGGCAAATTTAAGAGCAGACTCCTGAGAGCAAAGGGAGGGGTGTGGTTTGAGCAGGCAAATCCAGCCTCAGGGCTGGAGGACTTGTTAGCCTGATGGGTCTGAAAACTAACCCTGTTCAGATCTAGCTGCTTCCCATGGCCATCCTGCACATTTTATAGAGATCAGGGAGAGGGACAGTTTTAGGCTGCATGTAAAGACTTGATTCTCTGACACGTCTGAGAGCCATCACTACTCAGCTGTATAATTACAAGCGACCATGGGCTACTTGGATGTAGTAATGGCCTAAATACCCATGAGGTGGTCCTCAGAGTTTTTCTTAGCTTTTATTTCCTATCTGGATGAACAATGTGGCAATTTCATAAAACAGAACCCAACGTGCTTTGTGATTCACACAGCTAATTTTTGTGTGCTTTTGACAGCTCTGTCAAATTTGTGAGAAATCTGTTATTTTCTCCCCTGACATATTTGGAAGGCATATGAAGTTGTTATAGTTGGACGATGGGGTAGCACTACAGTCTGAATGTTTGTGTCTCCTGTAAATTCATATATTGAAACCGAATCACCAATGTGATGGTATTGGGAAACAGGACTTCTGAGATATGATTAGGTCATGGGGACAGAGTCCTGATGAATAAGTGCCTCTATAAAAGATGCACTAATGTGAGTGCTACGTATGGAAAATATGTACTTATAAAAATGTGAAATAAATAAAATGCTAATAAGCTAATAAAAATGTGAAATAAATAAAATGCTATAAATAAATAAAGCACTAGATCTGCCTTGCTGTTTCTGGTACATGAGGACACCTCAAGAAGTTCCCATCAATAAGCCAGGAAATAAGCCCTCATCAGACAATGAATATGCCAATGCCTTAATCTTGGACTTCCCAGACTCTAGAACTATGAGAAATGAACTTCTGTGGTATATAAGCTACCCAGTTTGTAGGATTTGTAAGGGTAGCTTGAACAAAGTAAAACAAGTGGAGCAGCTTTGTGCATCTGGCTATCTTCCCAGCATGGTTTATCATACTGTGATCCATCTGATACAATGGCAAACAGAAAAAAAAGGAGCTGCCCCTGTGCTTTCAGAGGAAAAAGCAAGAACTGTGTTACTGTTAGCCCCTAGGAAACTTTTGCTCTGATTTTTAGTCCTCTCTTGGAGGCAGTCACAGATCCCCTGAGCATGGTATGGACACTTGTACAAATAGACTCTTGTCTTCCTCCTGGAGAACACGTGAGATCAGATGCACAGCTTTGTGACTGCGTCTCATGCTTGAATTTAGTTCCCATGTGCGTCCTCCTGGGGAGCCTTTAGAATTCATGAATACACAATTGTATTCACTATTTCTTATCACAGTACCTCAAAAACTCTCAGGCACTTCTCCAAAGAGACCACAGAGACAAGGTCCAGGAAGGAAAATTACCACAAGCAGTGGCCTGTGCAGCAAAGCGGCCAACAACAGTCCAGCTAAGTGATAGCAGGTTTAGGTGGCAGTCCAGGGAAACCATGGAGCAGGGGTCTCTACAGAGGGCAAGCAGTGGTCACTGTAGAATATCAAGAGCAGAACTAAGCAGAAACATGAAGTAAAGCCCAGACTGTTCAATGGGACTATATGAAATATTTACTGGGAGTCACAGCATTAGAAAGGAGAATGCGGTAGATATTTCCTGAAGAAATTTTCTAGATGCACAGAATTATGAGATTTGGCATGGCTGCTAATTATACCACCCTCACGTCTCAGCCCCAGGGTCTAGCCCATTAAGCTACTTTGTACCCATGGCCACAATGCCTGGTCCAGGGGTAGGCATGTGACTT